TTAAAATTTGTATCTTAATTTTAAATCTGTTCCCTGAGTCCTGGACTTTGTTTCCAATTCCTACGTCTCCACTTGGGTACCTCAAAAATATCTAAAACTTAATATGCTTAAAACATAGCACTTTATTTTCCCTCATAAACCTGTTCCCTGTCAGTTTTTTGCAAAAAAGGCTAGTTACTTAAACCAGAAATCCAGTAGCAGGAGACTGATCCTCCTTCCTCATCCCCAAATCTATACCATCAGAAAATCCTGTCAACTCTATTTACAAATATATCTCAACTCTTTATCTCCATAGGCCTCCCATCATCTCTCAACCGCAGCTATTGTAACACCTTCCTAACTCTGATTCCACTTCGGGACCAACCCTTCCCAACTAGAACCATGGCATTCTATATCTCAGCCCTTTGTTAGTTTTCTTCACAGCACTCACTAACACCTGGAAATATTTATACATCTGTTTCATTCTCTTTTTTTTTGGTCTGCCCTCCACGTAAGAACATAAGCTCCACGAAGGCAAGGCACCATTGCATTGGTGGTGTATACTGAAGCCCAGTGCCTGAAACAATGTCGACACTTAAACATATACTGGACAGATGAAGAACTCTATTTTGGTTATTTTATGAGAATATGTCAGTGTTGATTTTCTGCTGACAAGCTACCCTAGGACACAGTGAAACCTTCCCTCTCCATGCACAGTTATTGTTGCTATAATTGTTGTTATTCTCTCCTTACTCTGCCTTTGAGAATTCAAAGGTTGGAATTCCATGTTCTATCTTCCATATATGTCATAAAACTTTCCCGTTATTCTAGTTAACTTCCTGTATAATCAGTATATTTCCCTCGCTCTAACATTCCCTAATATTTTCATTATGCTCAGTATTTTAGCAAATACGTTTTGCTAACTTATTATTTCTCCCACTAATCTTACTATACTGTTATTATATTACATGCAGTTTGAAATACCTCATATTATCTTATTTAATCTTCACAACAACCCTGTAAGGTATGCATGTATTTTTATTTCCATCTCATAGATGAGGAGATAGGGTATAATGAGGTTCAACAACTTGCCTAAAGACAAAGACTTTGCGGGGGTGGGGGTGGTCAAGACTCAAATCCTGGTCTGTTTGACTCCAGAGACCATAACTATTAATACTAGTTTATACTGCTTCCCTTACTTTGTTTTCTTTTTTTAATTTCCTGGAGAAAAAGATTCTGCTAGTTTCTTCGTCTGACAGCTTATTGCAAAGAAGAGAAAATGGACATCAGAGAAGGAAGGTAGTTTTTCCTAACAGTGGGAGATAGAACAAGGATTTCAATCACAGCTGTAGGACTACAAGGCCAATACTTTTTTTATTACCTCAAGAATTCTCATTAAAGGCTTGGAAATTCCACAGAAGAACGTCAGAGATCCATGGAATGGTTTAGAATTATAAGCAAAATTTTGTGTCTGTCTACGTAAGTCCGTTTTTCCTGGGGAAATGGCCCATAGCCTCTCTAAGAGGTCTATGACCCCCTAAAAGGTTAAGAACCACCATTATACTGACTCCCTAAGAAAAATAAGAAAGTGGAACATGAGCTCCAATACTTTTTAATATAAATGTGATTTACGATGTACAGTTCATTTTAAAAATATTCTATTTTCATTCTTACTAAATAAACCAATACTAACTAATGGTGTAGAAAACATTTTACAAAAGAACCATTTTAACTCTAATCTTTCTTAGTATGCTTATATTCTTTAAATGCTAAGAAATGATTACATTCAAAATGTGTCTTACATTCTTCTGGCTGAACAGATGAGTAACTCCCAAGGTTTAATAACTGACTGGTAAATGTTGATTGTAGTACTGTCTCACCAACCCATTGATCCTCATGAATAACAACATCTAGAGAGAGATCAAAAAAGTTCTGATTATGCCATAAATTCCTTCACACTGTGGTTAGCTTACCAATCACGCAAAATATTATGCATACCTCCCAAATGCCAGGCAACTGAAGTTCAAATAGGTTAAATGACCTGCCTAAAGTCACAAAATGATAAAATAGCAAATCTGAAGTCTGGACTTCGGTATGTCTGTATATAGGCAAAATAACAAAATTGCTTCCATATATTCAAATGATACAAATATGGAAGCTCATTGGTCTACAAAGAAACGTTTAGTAGTTTTTGTTTACATAAGAAAAATGTTATAATATATATTTCTGATAAATTAAAAATAAATTTTTCAGAACCAGGAAGCAAAGTAGTGGCTCCAAAGCAGTAGTGCCTAGAAGAGTAATAATGTTCAGTATGGGCTGGGCGCGGTGGCTCACGCCTGTAATCCTAGCACTCTGGGAGGCCAAGGCGGGAGGATTGCTTGAGCTCAGAGTTCGAGACCAGCCTGAGCAAGAGCGAGACCCCGTCTCTACTAAAAATAGAAAGAAATTAGCTGGACAACTAAAAATATATAGAAAAAAATTAGCCGGACATGGTGGCATATGCCTGTAGTCCCAGCTACTCGGGAGGCTGAGGCAGTATGATTGCTTGAGCCCAGAAGTTTGAGGTTTTTGTGAGCTAGGCTGATGCCACGGCACTCACTCTAGCCCGGGCAACAAAGCGAGACTCTGTCTCAAAAACAAACAAAAAAAAAATTAAAAAAAAAAATTCAGTATGCACTAGTCCCTTCTTAAGGCATTCTTAAAGGACTTAATTATTTTTCCCTAATAGCATAATAACCATCTTCTATAGAAGTTAAAAGTAAACGACTTTGGAGGCAGGGAACACTTTCCAATGGTCCAATGGGAAAGAGAGAGCTGCATGATCTAAGGTGGAGAGAGAAGAATCGTGTAGTGGAACTAAACATACCAACACGTAGAAATCCAGGAAGAGCAAAAACTGTAAGTTTTAAAGGGAGAGAGAAAGGGAGCTATTTCCCAGGCAAGATATAATCAGCATACAGAGTGTTAGAGGTATAAAGATATATTAACCATAGCAAAATAATCAGGAGACAATAGGAAATAAAAACAAAGATGCATAAATTCTAAGTGATTACTTCCAGATTTATATTCTAGACCCTCTCCTCAGCTTCAAAGCCCTTTGATCTGTAACTGGATAATGGAAATTCTTGCCTGAATATTCTATTGGCTTCCCAAACTCAGCACTGTCCAAACCTGCTTTTCCTCTCACACTACCCATCTCATTGTTGGCACTCTGCTGCTAGTCAGGTAAACTAAAATCTGAGGGCATCCTGCCTCTCCCTTCCCACCCTTTGTCCCCAGCCCCCATCCACTGCCTGCGCTGCTACTGTTTTACATCCCACATTCCTCCCTCCTAACCAGTGATCTTCCCACCTCCAATCCATGTCCACAAGCCAATGAGTGATTTATCAAGAACATTAATGATACTGGGTGACTTGTTTAAAAAACACTCAGTGGCTCCCCACTGCCTAGCCAGGAAAGACTACCACAGCACTGAAGACTTTCCATGATCTGACATTCAGAATGCATGCTCTTCAGAAAAAAAAAGGAACAAATAAGAAATTTCAAGGAGAAGCTTCTGAAAACTAGGACAGTGAAGCCTATGTCGGGTTAGTGACATGTTAATCACTACTGGTGGTGGGGTGGTGGTAGCCGGCCCTGGCCTCCTGGCTCCCTTTAGCCATTCACTGACATGCCCCAGCTCCTAGTTCCCCTTCTTCTGTTTGTTCCATAAACACTCTAGTTTCCCAATGCTAAGTCCCAGGTCCTCTTCTCTTTTAACTCTAGTCAGTCGTCTCCCTTAGACAGTCTTTACTTATGGCATCTCTTCATTCTATTGCTAAAAGTATAAGAGCAAATGTGTACTGTGTTACTACATGGAACATGATCTGGAATGCATCTGTTCCATAGAATTTTTCAGCTCTGGGGTGTGTATCAGTAGGTAGTATGAGCTACCTGAGCTATACAAGTAATTTTACGACTTAATTAGGACAATGGGAAGTACAGATTTTTTTGTCCAAAGTTTCCATCTGTTCCACACAAAAGAACCTTATTCAGAAATCAGTGAACTAGATTCTTTCTTCCTTAAAAAATACAAAACAGAAAAAGACTGAAATTTTTAGAAAGGTGGTCACAAATAATCTAAAGGTCTTATAATAGGAAAATTGTCAAGTAAATTGTACTAAAGTCAATTCATAGAATGCTATCTAGTTGTTAACAAATGTAGAGATATCAGGGAAAAATACAGAAATAGCAGGGTTGAATTTCCATCTGCATAGGAAAGGCTTGCTGGAAGGCTCACAGTGACAGCAGTTGCCTTGGTAAAATGAGCATGGTCCAGGGCATGGCCGTCCCTTTACAGTCTGGGAAACCTAATGTTGTCAACATTCCAAAACTAGATTTCGGCTCTGTAACATAAGCTCATATTAAACAGTTAATGAGACAAATTAAAAAAAAAAGTGGAACACAATTTTTTTCATTTACAATGAGGCACTAATTGCCAAGGAAACAATATTTGCAGCCTGTTCTCACCTTGTAGGCAGTTCTACAACTGGGAAGCCAAATCATAAGCAAAGAGGTATTTGGTGAGCACTGAATCAGAACAGAGTGAGTTCGATGAACTGACTCTCCAACAATACTATAACAACAAATAGTGGGATGAGGCTATGCTAAGCCTGTTCGTTACAATCCTGTGTTTACCTCTTTATTAGAGATTGTACCTGACAATTCTACAGGAACACCAGGGTACATTAGCTAAGGTTCTCATTCTCCCTGCAAACCATTTGGTAAAACTACCAATACTGCCTTAAAGTTTTCTTTTTCTAGGCTTCTAAGGCTAACCTATATATCTTCTCTATCACATTCTTTCTTTAGATATTTTATTAAGCTTAATCAACTTCCTCCTGGCTCTAATATATTGTGTAATAATTTTAAATCAACAAAAACATGTAACACAATGTTAGGTTTCTTATATTAGGTGAGATAAAAACTAAATGTTCTTTTTGACTATAACTATATAGTAAAACTACAGATTCTGGAGTCCAGGTGAAATCATAGCTTTGCCACTTCCTAGATGTGTGATATTGGGCAAGTTACTTTTCTTCTCGGGGCCTCAGTTTCCTCAACTAAAAAATGGGAATAAAATCAGTACCTTCCTCACACAGTTGTAATGAGATATGTAAATATAAAGTCTAAAATGGAGTCTGACACAAAGTAAGCTCCCAATAAATATCAGCTTATAAATGTATGTGAATATGTCTATATAAACACAGTCATCACATTTTAAGGAGCACAGAGAAAATAACTGGAGGGTAACACTCTAAAACTCTACTGGTGGTTCCATGAAGTTGGTATAATACCAGTTTTTTCCTTACCATATTTCCAAATGTGATTAATATAATTTTAGTAATAAAATAAAGCAATAGAAATCTATATCTGTTCCCTTAGTAAAAATGTAATGTGCACAGCATTATTAGGGATTGGGTAAAGAAGCGTAAGTGCTGTTCTTTCATCACAAAACTGCTAATATAGTCTAAAGAAAAGGGTTAAAAATAAGACATACATAAACAAAACCGTAAGAAAATAAAAAAGAACCTAATGACATGACCTGAACACTCACATGGTGAATGAAAAGGAGGAGCAATCAGGTGAGGCTTCTTAAAGGAGAAGCTGCACGGAAAGGAGGTGCGGAACTAAGAAAAATAGAACAGAGGCCCAGAAGTGGCAACGTGCAGGATAGTGGGCAATGGAAGGGGGCCAGCACAGATGCTATGAAGGGATCGATTATGCTGGGCCCAGAAGAGGCAAATGGTAGAGAGTCCTCAAAGACTTAAAGTGGGAGGAAAACAAAACAAAAACAAAACATAGCTTTATAAAATAAGCTACCACTATACCATGATGACCTTACCTGTGAGTAAAATTATATCTCCGAGAAACACTGTAAGTGCCCAAAATGCTGTGGCCCTCCACAGAAAAACCTTCTTCTTAACTTCTGATTGATCAATTACTGTAACTGTTGCTAAAGGTACGTTAGAGCCAGAATTTGGTCCGGATTTTATGTTTATGTCTTTCACATGACATGGAGATAGCACCATGACTAAACAATTATACTTCTGACTTTTAGAATCACAATTTTTTATTAATGATGTTTTTTTAATACCCTTAAATCCAGACACATTCCTCTGGTCCATTGCTACAGCAGAATCTCTTGCATTAGACATCAACTTCATTTTCTTAGCTACTTGGAGGACTTCAGAGAGAGCTTTAGAGTGGCCCAATTTATCTTCACAGGCCCAGCTTCTTTTAGCAGCCCTTTTGTGGAAGGTATTTCGTTGGGAACACAGTATTCCTGAGCTACACAACTCAATACATATCTCATTTGGTGGCAGTCTATGTTCAGAACTGAAAAGTTCTTGAGATCCTGTATTTTCTTCAAGACCTTTATTAGAGTTTATGTGAATGTGGCTACTTTTTGTTTCAGGACAAACAGGACTAAAAAGTTCAAGTGAATATGCTTGGTTTTCTCCATTTTCATATCCTTCTGCAAAATCATCATTAGGCTGAATTACATTATTTTCAATTGTTCTAATTTCCCCATGATTTGCCTTTGGTTCAATCCCTGTGTTGACATTCCCTTTATTTATAGAATTCTGCCCTTTATCCTTCCTTTGAGCTAAAAAAGCCACCTGGCTGGAGGTCATTATACTGAGAAATTCAGTATCAGTAGATATTTTAAGGTTTGAGACATTCCTAACTGCTCCTTCAGACCTTGGCTTATCTACAGGGTTAGAGGAAAAGAATTCGGGACATTGGTCTTGTATTTCATGATGTTCTGTTGACACACACTTTGTTTGTGCTGCTCCAGGCCCTATGTTAATTTGTTCAGTACTGCAGACCAAATCCAGTAGAGCTGCACACCTGTGATCTAACTGAAAGGAATCTGTTTGAAAGTTCTGACCATGTACACTGGGCTGCTCTTTAGGCTGTCTATCCGCGACCCTCTTATTTTCACTGAGAAGCTTTTGATGTTTTCCTTCTTCGGTTAAATGTTGAACTCTGCCTTTAAATCCACATATTTGTACATTAGAGTTAGTTACATCACTCAGTCCTGAGGGGTGAGTCTTCTGGGATTTTATATTCTGTGTTTCAGAAACAGCACGTATAAAGTCATCTTTCACATGAACAGATCTATTCATAGAGTTTGCTAAAAAGTGGCCACGAAGAAGATCTGGAGGGCCAACAGATTCCGGGACTTGATAGTTTTCAAGATTTTTGTGCTCATGTTTTTCATCCTTCAAACATAAAGAATGCTGATTGTACAAAAGCTGAATTTCCTTCCAGGGGCCAGCAGTGGCCATTAAAGAAGTTGTGTCCTGTGATACCGTCATTTTCATAGGACTAACAGGAGCACCCCAAAAAATGTGGACTTTAGATCCTCCATTCATGATTTCTGAT